GGAACGATGCCTTAGGGGAAATTTCAAAAAACACCTAAGGAAATTTCCAAAAGCAAAATATACCCACGTAAAATGCAATAAATGCAAGAAAACTACCAAGGTGAATATCCAAATGCAAGAAATGAGTTTCAGAAGTCACACTTACCATATTGAAAACTACTTGGTTTCATTGATTAAAAGAAAGAAAATAATTTCAACAATAGAAAGCATTATGCATGACTTTCTTGCTATTACTCAAGGACACAGACCTTCACATTAGATTGAACAAAAAGAAAAAGAAACTTCCATTGCCATCAATTGGATGTTTGTGCTAGGATTCATAATTCTTCTTAACGTTTAAAGTCTGAAACTCCAACATTAATTGAAATAGAGAACATAAAAATAACTAGTAGATAAAACTTCTACATCCCCCATAAATTGGAGTGAACTTGGGAAAACAAATGAGCATTCTGCTACACAACTTTACCTCTTAAACATCTCATCAAGGCCACCATACTCTCTCATAGCGATAGCACACAGAATTAACACATAGCATATCCATATTGATGCCCATAAAATGAAAAGAATGACACGTCGCCAGGAAAATGTCGGTTTTATGGGCTTAGTAGTCACGGACTTGAGGTCCACATGTTCAGATGAACTCTTTTCTGCTTGTCGGTCACTTTTTGTAAACAATTTTCTCGGTGGTGCATCCATACCATAACCTAATATAAAGATTAACTGCAATGGAGAATGTTAAAAACAAAATAAAGATCCTCTACATGCATATCTTTGATAAGTCTGCTAAACCAATTGCCCATTATGTAAGAATTGAGAAAACATACGGGGATAACTAAAACCAATGGATAAAGAGACAAGTGTGATGCCACGACCCATCCAAAAGCTGCCAACGGAATTAGCCCTGCGCATATTGTAAGTATAACTTAGTGAACATAATTAGAATCTATATTATGATCAGGAGTGTCTGATTGACAGCCATCGAAAAGACTTATCAGCGTTTCATCATTTTCACAGAACAAACACGTATCATTAAGCAGTCACCAATAAATACTCAGTTGTGTTTCTGCAACATAACAGCAACGTAGCCATTTTTTCAAAAGTTACATGTGTACTGGCAGGGAAGGGAGTCTAAATACCTACCAAACTGAGGTACAAACACCCTGCACCAATCAGTACAAAACCCTTATAAAGGGTGGGAAATCCTATTTGAGCTACAAGCTTGTGGTAGAGGCAATGTAGCCTTTCTTTACATTTTACCTTTTATAGTACAGACCATAAAATTAAGACATTCAGCTTTCAATCCCGAATTTAAGAAAAAAGGTGAGCACTTAATGTAACTTGTTTCTTCTTCAGACTCAAAAATAATGTTCAAGTGTTCTAATCACTTCAGCACTTTAAGCAAGGATTGCTGGAAATTATTACATAAATCAAAAAATTCCAGGAGATATATAATAGTTCCTTAGAAAAATTATTACCACGTGCAAAGTTATTGGAGAATGCCTTATAAAGCTATGAGATAATCCAAAATCAAAGAACAGGAAGTGTTTAAGGCAAAACAACTATAGAAATATATGAAACATGTGTGACAAATTCCAGATACAACACAAAAGGTTGAGTTATTTGAACGAGTTAAACCAACAGCAGAGAAGAATCATGAATCCTCCTAAGTATAAGTATTGTTGATTATGCATATAGGTGATAGAGAAAAAGGAAGTCGACTTCGTACCTGAAGATGCTCCATAAAGAGATAAGATGACAAACAGATTTTCGATAGGTGATGTATTAAACCCAATGCTTGAGACTATTGTGAAAGGGTTCCACAGATACACAAGTGCAGCAACATCGCCAGAGGGAAGAATCTCTAGTTTTAAGAAAAAAAAAAAAAGTAACTTTATCAGTTTACATGAAGCATTCAACAGATGGATACTGCAAGACAGAAAGACCGATGTGGATTACCTACGTCCTTGGTCAGTTTATCAAGTCCTAATGATTTCAAAGTGTGAGCATGTGCTGTTAGAAGACTCTGCCCAGTAGCACGGATGAGAACTGCACTCACAAAATCTGCAACCACAGAAACCAGACTATATCCAAAATGAGCTGATAATGTATACGCTGAATGATATCGGAAGAATATACTACTAAATAAAGAAAGTAAAGAGAAGACGTCGACGTCATTTGTCGATCATCTCTAAGAAAATTAGGAATCTGCAAATATTGCAATAATTGTTGTTATTCCATACAGAATTCTTTAAAAAAAAAAAAACAACAACAACAACTTAGATGTATCCATGTAGTAATTGGTGTCACATAACTGTCTTCAAACTTCTTGACTGACTAATTTAGTAATATCAATGCATGACAACTATAGTAGAGTTGCAATTGTTGGCATGTTGAGAACTATTCAATCATTAGAGTCTAATGTGAAAACTGATACTTCGTTGGACATAATACTGCAGCGAACAAAGGAGTTACGTGCTCTATAATAGTAATTTATATTTTATAACTCCAAAGACAAATTAGTAAAGTTGTGTTTCTGAGAAGACAGAGCTTGTGCATTTATAAGCGCACATTACAAACTAGATTCTGAGACTTGCAGTTTGCTAGAAAGCTAGGTCGGCATGATGATATCACAAAACATGATGAGTGTTGTGCCTTACCACAAAAATCTGTGTTTATACATGGTAAGAATTCGCACGAAAATTAAGATGTCTATAGTAAAAGGTTCTTACAATATTCATTTAACCAAGAGTGTAAGAAGCTAGAACAGATACTTGAACCTTTTGCTACTGTTCAGGAGACGTATAATAATCAAATTATGAAAAAAATAAAAATCTTTACCGGATTCTAACTTGAACTTCATATATCATACTGCTAAAAAAAACATTTTGAACGCATTACAATAAAAACTAGAGAATTATTGGCTTAAACTCATAATCACACAACAACTGGTTTTATGCTATTGCAGACCAATGTGCATTAGAGTGACGTCAAAAACACGAATCCGTTAACACAATAAAGATCAATATATATATATATTACACCGAGATAAAAAGCTAATACCTGCACAATAGATGACTAGATTGGCCCTCAACCCTGCATTATGCAATTATATTAATCATCAATAGCTGCATAATTTGTCTACCCAACAGAGCTATGATCTTATTCAGAAGTTAGTAAAAAATAGATAATAGGAAGAGCTGCTACTTCACAGTTAGTGGTCCGAGCACCGAGAGCAATAACGGCGATCCATGGTACATTGAACCTGCTTATCACAGCCATTACAATTCAATTAAGCCAAAAATCCATAAACAGAAATCAACTGTTACTAGTTAAATATAAGCACTACAAATGAAAATAGACGAACCCGAATACGGCGACATCGATAACTGCTTTAGCCAGTAACCCTCCGCCACTACAACGACACAGACCGGACAAAATCGAAGAAAAAAAATGGTTAAGCTTGATAATTACTTCAAAAGATGGATAAATACATACATATATGTGTTATGGAGATAGGGAGAGGGAGAGAGGAACTACAGCGGCGCAGGCTGGTGACCGGAGTAGAGACTTCCGGCCGGGTAGAAAGGTTGAGTTTTTCCGATGAATAGATCATGATTAGTCTGAATATGACGGAAGCTATGGCCCATTTCCAGAACCCCAGCTTCTTTATCTTAATCCCAATTTTGTTTCTCTCTTCCATTGGTTCTTGGGGAAGTGTCTTGCTTGCATCCAGATCGGGAGATTTGCCCAGTGTTTTTGGAGAAGGCGTTTCCAAGCTGAGTTAAGCCGAGTTAATAAAACGACTCGTTCGTTTAGTGCAAACTTGTTTATAAAAAAACACGCAAACCAAAAAATTCAATTTCAGCTCAAAATTTAATTTAAGTTTATAATTATTCATATTATTAATATAATTAAATAATATTAATTAATTATCCTTTCACGTCACATTAATTTCAATTCACGAAAATTATCTAGCCTGGATTTGAAATCTTCCAACTTCTATTATTATACGAAAATTTGAGATTAGCGCACCAAATCCATATCAGCGCACCAAATCCATTCTTCAAAGTCAAAGAACAACACCGAGATCCACAATCTTCACCATCAAAACACCAGAATCCGTAGTAGAAATCTCCTCCAGAGGAAAGATCCTCTATCGATTGTGACAAATTGTGGTCGAAACACACACTGTCCCAACTAGTTGCTGAAAATCGTGACCAAAACGTCCTCCTAGGAGGAAAGAACACAAGCCAGAGAAACCGACCCTCCCATCCGCGGAAATTGACCGAGTAGATAGGGAGAGATGGGAAACATAGCACCAGTTTGCATGGAGAAGGGTAATCTCAAAGTGCTCGAAGTCATCCGAAAGTGATGATACCACCATTAGAGCTAAATCTTCATTGCTGAATGTGACGTCCAAGTTTAACAAATCTGCAACCAATTGATTGAATGTAGTGACGTGGTCATTCAGCGTTGTGCCATGACGGTACTCAAATCAGAACAATGGCTTCTTCATAAGAAGCTTATTCTAACCTTTCTTCTTCAGAAATTTATCCTACAAAACATTCAAAGAGTGTGAACAGAGTTCTCATTCTTGAACGCGTACTTCTGCTCCCTCGACAAACACGAATGGATTGTTCCATACGCTAAGCGGTTGACAATCTTCCAATCTTTCTCACCAACGTCAGTTGGCTTCTCCTCTTCAATGACAATGTCGACGCGTTGTTGAAATAGATAATCCAACACCTCGTTGTGCCACATGCCGAAATGATCGGTGCAATCGAAGATCTCCACCTGGAGTCTGACGTTCGGCATCGCCGTCCTTGCCGGAATGAGTGCAGAGGATGATGCGCCATTGATCTCCTTGGATATCTTGAACTTGAACCCATTGTTCGCCTCACCGAATGAGCCTACGACGAACCTTCGGCTCTGATATCACTTATTGTGGGTAGAGCAAGAAGTGCAACAGACAAAAATACTCCTATAACAAATATGACAACCACTACTCCAAACAAAAATAAACCAACACAAATAAATAAAAGATGAAAAATTAAAAGAACACACAAAATTGATAACGGAGTTCAACAAATATTGACTACGTGTCTGGCACTGCCAACCGCAAAACCATATTTATTAACCTCACCAACAAAATACAAGTAGAGTTAAATAACGCACAAATTAAGATTTTATTTATTAAAGATTCCATTCTAAAATATGAAAAATCGTGCATATCTAACGTCATATTTACTAACCTCACCAACAAAATACAAGTAAAGTTAAATAACCCACAAACTAATATTTTATTTATTAAAGATTCCATTCTAGAATATGAAAAATCATACACATCTTTTGTACATACGTAGGACAACAAATTAATCAAAATTTGACAACGACTTTATTAACTAACATTCGTATAACACGACAATATTATAATTTGGAGGGACGGCTACAATCCAGTAAGTCTAGGGCTGCAAACGAGTCGAGCGGCTCATGAGCCGCTCGCGAGCGCTCGAGTCAAAGCTCGACTGGAACTCGAATTTGACCGAACTCGAATCGATTTTGTCTTGTCGAGCGGCTCGAAATATACGTTAATTACTAAAATAACCCTTATTTTGTATATTAGCATAGATGTTTACTGGTAATTTTACCTAATTTTCGAGCCGAGCTCGAGCATTTTGATTTCGAGCCGAGTCCGAGCCGAGCTCGAGCTATTATAATTTTTTATCGAGTCGAGCTCGAGCCTAAAAAATCGAGCTCGATGAGCTTGAACTCGAGCTCGAGCAGATAAAAAAAACTCAATCCTGCTCGATAAGACTAATACTCGACTTGGCTCGGCTCGTTTGCAGCCCTACCCATAACGGTATGATTCTGTTCATTTATTTAAATTGTTGGATATTCACAATTATTACTAGCCTTTTATATAGGGAAGTTGCATATCAACTGCACACATTGTAATCATCATGGGAACTTTAGTATTTTCCTAATTCCTAATTTATATTACAGTTAGTTTTATCAACATGTTTTAGGGTAAATACTAAATTCTAAAACAATATGGTGAAGAAAAAGAAAGGGAAAGCGTGGACGTTTAGAATGAGTGAATAGCAGAAGAAAGGATCGTCCTCTTCACTTGGGTTCCTCTAATATCCCTCAGTCGGTGACAAAAAAGACACCTCAGTCCTCATCCCCTTTGGGATCGATCGTATAAATATATCTGAATTTTTTTTTCTTTCACCTTCATTTGCAGCATATACCAAATTTAGTCACAGACAAACTCTCAAATAAATTATGGCGACGCCTGATCAGGAAGCAATCGCCACTTTCATGAACATCACCGGCGCCGATGAGGCCGCCGCTGTACGGAGACTTGAGGTAGTTTTTTTTTTTCTTTTTTTTTTTTCAGTTTGAATCGTTCTGGTAACCCGATAATCCAATGTCTCTGTCGTTGTTGTTGTAGTTCTTGATGTTTCTGCTGGATTTTTTGCTAGTCAAAGCTGTTTCAGTTTGGTGTTTACCAGATGTTTTTATGGTTGGAGGAATTAGGGGTTTTCTTTGTTTCCGATGTCTCCTATAGAAATGGGGTTATTTGATGTTTTGTAGTTCTGGGATTGTGGTGGGCTGTAGTTTGTGTAGGTGGGCTGTGGTGTTTGAGATTGGAGCTCACTGGATTGAGATGGATAGTGTGTTATGCCGTTGATGAAATCTTACATTTTCTAATCTTTGAAGTGAACAGAATCTTGTATTTTGTGTTGTTTCAATATCTGACTTCAGTGTCCTTTATTGGACCAAGGGGTGAAATTACCACAACTTTGGGCTCGGTGTCGTAATTTGTACCCAGATTTTTACTACCATGTGAAGTTATGGAACACATTCTGACTTTGTGAATTGATTATGGGTACTTGTGGAAATATTAAATTACCCCATCAGTGTACCATGTTGTATTTGGTTGATCGATGCCAAAATTAAAGTAATTACGTCTTGTGTGTTCTGTTGTTTTCTTTCGTTGGAAGGTTTATAATAACGTCCCTCTAACGATTTAATTCTGTGAAAATTGATCCTTCGTTACCCATTTTCTTAGAACAATGCCCTGATCACCTGCACACTACTCACATCGGCAGTTAGTCGCTATTTTAGGTGAAGCAATTTAAATGGCAAACATTCTCAATTGATCCTAGATTTAACTTCTTTGGTGTCCTGTTCCTTTTAAAAATCTTCACAAGTCTTGTACTAATTTAACTTTTTTAATATATATCTTGTTTAAGTGGCTTTATGTTCCACGAGAAATCATTTATTGCATTCAAGGGAAAAGATGGTTCAAATAAGAAAACGTTGTTATTACTTTCTTTGTGTTGCTATTGAGTGGGGATACTGGTTTTTCTTAGTGCCGTTGAAGGATGTGTAACATCATAACATAATATTCAGCAAATGTACTCCGTTGTCACTCACTTGAAGTTTTAGTGGTGGTCAAGTAATTCCATTTAATCACTTCAAGAGTTTTCAGGATTAAAGGATCCCATAATGCAGAATTTTTAGACTGTAATCTCTAATTTTGTGAACATCTTTGGTTGTGCAGGATCATCATGGCAATTTGAATGCAGCTGTGAATGCTTATTTCAGTGAAGGGGATAGAAACCTGTTAGTTTTTAGTTTTTACTGCCTTATTACTTATTTTTTTGGTTGCTAGGGCAGACCCTCAGCGACACCATTCTGAAATTTAACCTATTATCAATGTTGCATCTTAATGTCGTGTGTGATGTAATTTTTGGTTTTGTTTTCCTTCTTCTGCATGTAGAACTCAAGAGGCATCTTTAGCTGCTCCTCTAGATGATATGGACATAGATGATCCAATACCAATCGAGTCCCGCAGACCTCCGACCTCATCACTCCCCCTTGCCAGAGATTTGAACCCTTTCTCTCTCCTTGATCCCAATTTCACCAGAAATATGTTCGACATTGGTAGCGCCCCAGCTCCATCACCTTTTGTCTCACACCCAAGAGAGGTAAAGGAGATCCCAATTGAGGTGAAAGATGGGATTGGAGCATCAGGTCACTCTGGTGATGCTCTCAAGATTGAAGAGGTAACTGAAACTGCACGTGAACATGGCCCTGAAATTCGTGAAACGGCCATAATTGATGATGAACATGATGAGAAAAGTTCGTTGAATTCACCAATCACGCAAGCTGTTGGACATGGGACTGGAGGCACATCAACTAATCATGGACCAAGTGCTCCCACTATTGTGGATGTGCCCGACTACGGAAATGAGATAGAGGAAGAAATGATACGAGCTGCTATTGAGGCTTCGAAACAGGATGCTTCAGTGCCAAATCAACTAGTTGGCGATCATCTTGTATGAAACATATTTACAAAGTATGAGCTGCTAATAGTATTTGAATATTTGAAATATTGATGTCATCTTTGTTCTGATGCAGGATGCGCAGTATCCCACTTCTCAGCCTGGAGGACAGTCCCACCAAGAAGATGCTGACCTTGCACATGCAGTTTCGTTGTCATTACAGGTTTGCTTCAACTGTCTAAAATTGTTTGATATCAATATCTTCTCCAGTTAACATGATTGATTCTAGACTGCAGAGCGGGAAAAAGCGCTTAGGGAACAGGAAGGAAATACTGGAGCCTCAGAAGTAGGTCAGATATCAACTACTTCCCCTGAGGAGTGGGGTAGAATACTTTCCAATGGACGGTTAGTCATATCTGTCATCAATATTGTTTATTGCACTATGCTCTGCATGAGTGTCTCGATGTATCTGGAAACTGTTCATTCCGTGGACTTACCCAAGCATTTGATGTCTGCAGGCAATCTCAGTTGGAGCATGGAGGCACATCTCTCCAAGATGAAGTTGATGATGTAGAAGAGCCACTGGTTAGACACAGGAGAAGACGCGTGTCTTCAGGTCATCTTGACATTGCTAATAATATTGAAGAAGAGGAGGTCAGCCCGCCTTCCAGTCCTCCACAGCATGATCGTGTTCATGATCCGCAGCATGATAGAAATGATTTCCCCTCTGAGGTGGTAATTCTTGGGTTGATATTCCTTACATACTATTTTTGTGATCTGTTGCACAATATTTATTCTTCGATGAATTGGGAATAATTAGATTTTCTTTTTTATTTGTTCAAAAGTGGGGTGGCATCTCTTCAGAGGAACATGATGAAGCTGTAATGCTTGAGGCTGCAATTATGGGTATTTCGTATGAACCTCATCAGCTGATGAGAAATGGTTTAGGTACTACAGTGGATCCCTATCCCTGGCGTATGCCTCGTCCTCCATCACCTTCTCTTGCTGCTCAGCGACTCATACGAGAACAACAGGTCCACTCTCTGAGCTTGTAGTGCTAGCTATATTCCAGTTTGCTTGGTTACTAATCTTTAAATTTATGCAGGACGATCAGTATCTTGCTGCTTTACAAGCTGACAGAGAAAAAGAACTGAAGGCTAAGGAAGAAGCCGAAACTGCTCTGGCAGAAGAGAAACGGAAAGAGGATGAATTGCGCAGAAAACTGCAAGAGGAAGAGGTATTTAATTTTGGGATTTTGATCTTACTTTAAGCCACTTTTATTGACTTGAGTTTCAATGTTGCAACAACTTTGGAAAATTGACGCATGCACATGTAACAATCTGGGGAACTCAATCCCGCATGCCGTGGGATAAGATTTCTTTATTAATGCTCCTACTGATGTTGAATATATATGTATATGCTGTCTTGTGGACTTGTGACATGCAAAATTAATCCAGATAAGAAAATTCTGCTGGTGAATATTTTATGCTGTCAGATAATGCTGCCAAATTGATTCTGCCTCTGTTTTGAGGGTCCTTGTGGTTTTTCCTCATTATTTTTAGGAAGTTGAGAGACAACTAGCAGCGAAGGAAGCTTCTCTTCCTCAAGAGCCAACAGCAGAGGATGAGAATGCTGTAACACTCCTTGTGCGTATGCCAGATGGAAGTAGGAGAGGACGCCGATTTCTGAAGTCAGACAAGCTACAGGTAACCTTTCAACTGAGATGTGCATGAGCCTTTCGGAGCTGCAAATAAATATTTGATGCTCACATATTCAATTATTCACGCACTTTTTGTATGAGAGAAGCACACATGCCATAGGAGTAACGCTAAGGACTCTTTGAAAAATGTAAAAGATTTTGATATGAGTCCAATTTTTTTTTTTTTTTTT